ACCCAAACAAAAAAATTTCGAAAAGGAAGGCCAGTTTGCAAGACACGCACAGTAAAAAAAGATTGACTCATCTATTTGTGGTATCAGTCGCATGAAGTGGAAAGACGACAGGAACAAAATGGATTGGATACAGTGCCTGAAATGCAAATACTGGGTTTGTGGTGCATGTAACCGTGGAAGCACAAATTCATTTTACAACTGCTCTCGCTGCGAAGACTCGATACACGAAGAAATCTTTGATGATAGCAATTAAGACAAAGATTTCCTTCGATCAGGATTTGAATTGTGCTATAGAACAGTAGTTTTTGGTTTTTAATATGTTCCATTGTTGGTAAATACGTTAATTTTTGTTTCTTTTATTTCGATTTATATTAATTTAAGCTTAACTTTAGAATATTTTTTTGAAACACTTGTAAGAGGAAATAAATACAGTTTTGTTAAAATTTATTTAACATTTTTCAATAAAAAATATACATAAAAATACATTCCTTAATGCTTCAGTTACATTTTCAGGGTTACATTTCTGGTCAAGTTACCATCTGAATGCATAGTAAGAGATTGTCCCTAAAACGATGTTTAGTGTCCAAGAAGCCCCGTTGTTGGGGCTTCTTGGACACTAAACAACAACGGGGCTATTCGGACATCACTTTTTTATATATTTTTTGTTGTTTGTATAAGGTATTTTCAATGTTTTATGATAGCTATATCCTGAAGGTTAGGTTGGTATGATAAACAAGTTTCTGTTGGTCTAACTTTATTTCTTCACTTTTAATCTTGTAAAATTTGCAAAAAAATGTGTCCAAGTAACGGTATAATTCTGATTATGCAATTTGATCAAAACTTTAAATCTGTACGGTTTTCATTATTACAAATACAATCGACCTGGTTTACTAGTCAATACGTTGCATCTTATAGAACTTAACTAACAAAGATACCATGTTGGCAGTATCTCTCACTGTTTTCCTTGGAAACTTCCTGCTTCTTTTTAAACATATATTACGCGACGCTAAGCGGTCTCTGTCATCCACCATTTGACGTTTTCGGTTCATGTTACCACGTTACAAAAGAAAAAATAATTTATTCAATTTTGTAACGGTTTATTGCATACTACTTTTTTTCCTCCTTGGTGGCCAGCGATCACTTGCACTATAAAATAGATGCATTGGTGGTCATTGTCGGAATAGTCGGCACCTTTTAATCCATTAAGTCGAAGTATTGCCCCTATAAAGTCCGTTCAATTTGCACCGCACTCTGTAGCTTTATGTTAAATTCGCCGGCAGCAATAACTTCCACTTTAATTTCGCCGTTTGTAAGCTACAACTGATTTAGCTTTCATTGGAATTCAGCCGGACATGCGATCGTATGTTATTTTATTTCGATGCATTTTCGTTTGTATCACTGGAAGGTTTTTTGTACTCTTATATAAAAAAATATTAATTTATAATTTAACACATTCAAATCTGGGTTGGTATTTGTTTTAAAAATGAATAGTTGTGTATAATTCGATGTATATTATAGTACATTTATTAGTACATAATAAACATAATTTTGTTTATTTTTAATTTCAAAAATAAACAAAATATGAACATTTTTTGAAATCGCAAAAATTTGACTTTTTGGCTATAACTAACCTTTCTGGTACACAGTGTCCATTAATAAGAAAAATCGTAAAACATTTATTTAATAGTTATGAACAAAGATATTATAAACAACTAAAATTATAAACCAAAAAAGTCTTTTAAGTGAAACTAGAAAATTAAAATGTTTTAACGACAAATGATACAAATTATTCTTTTTGACACCAGGCAATGAGTGGAACAAATATATTTTTTGCATTTGTGACAAGCATTTCTTGTCCTTTTATCAGCTTTTCTTGGGCATATCGTACAATGTTTTGGATATGTCGATGAAGATGGGACTGGAATCTGTTGGTTTTGAGCTCCCTCCACAGGCACTAAGATACGGATCGCCTCCACAATTCTTTTAAAGAAGTGCTTGTCCTGTACCTTTTAGTGGCATTAAGCTTTATGAGTTCTTGTCCAAGTTCTAATAAAAAAGTTCTTCTGTAGTCATTCCTTTTTAGTTCTGGATTTTTAGTCCAAATTATATAAGCATTTACAGCTGCAACGTCCAAAATATTTTGAAATAATACATTTATCATCTTATCCATAGTATCTACTGCGTCTTTACACCTGTTGTAATGTTCTATAATGTCCGGCTTGAAATGATTATCCTCATTCCTCATTTTATTGTCATGATACTCAATACAGAGTACTATCACTGATTTACCTTTCTTAGGTACGTAAGAAGCCAATGTTATATTATTCGTGAAAGCAAAAACGGAGGATTTTTCTGGTTTATTTTTGGGTAACAGTACTGGCGGAATTTCCTTTTTGTTTTGTCTGATTGTGAGTGTGCCCCACAATGTAAAATTACGATTAGTCAATGGTATAGTACTTGTAAAGAAATTATCGGTAAGTAATACCATAACCTCGACTAAGGCATGAAGCCAAGTCAAGTACAACACGTTTTCCTGCATTTCATTGCATATGTACTTTCCACATCAACAAGGGCCCATATTTTTATGCCGTACTTAGCTGGTTTAGATCTCACATACATATACTCGAAACGGGCACCTACCCCTAAATCCAACAAGTTGTTCGTCCACTGTAAGATGGGTATTTGGGTTGTAGCTATTTTTACAATTAGTCACAAATAACTCAAAAACTTCTCTAATTGCCGCAAGTTTGTCTGTATTTCGTCGTTCTATTTTTGTTGTAAAATCATCAAACCTCATAAATGAGATAAGATGCTTAATTCTTTCACGAGACATGGCGGCGGTAAATATTCCTCAAAAATACAAAGGATTCTTGCTCCACAGGAGTCTTAGTTTAGTCTTAGAAGATTGATTAAAAATTTTTTTTTATATTTATAAATCGAGTAAATCCTGTTCTAAACCTTGTTTGGATATGCACTAACTTGCACGTGGGATAAAAATTTCAAGCGAAAAAATCATTGTGATCAAAGCAAAAATGGAGCATTTCTTTACTCCACAGAAAATGCAGATGGTGTTAGCTTGCGGTGAAAGTCCATCGCATTTCTGTTCGAAAATTTTCTGGAGAAAGAGCGTCTTGTCCTAAAATTTTATATCGAATAGTTACAAAATTTCTGGAATGTGGTAACGAGGAGGAAAAAAAACGAACACGTGCAAGAGCGGTTACGAATGAAAAGAATCAAATAGCTGTTTTAGCAGCTGTAGATGTTAATCCTCATGTTGCCGTCAATTGTCAAAAGATTCAGGCATTTCGTTAACGAGTGTACATCGGATTTTTAAACTTAATAAGTTTCATCCGTATCATGTCTCTCTACACCATCAATTACATGGCGATGATTTCGAAAATCGTGTGCAATTTTGTACTTGGGCTATGGAAAAATTAAGATTGAATGAAAATTTTTTCTTCAATGTGCTATTTTTCGACGAAACCTCTTTCACCAATCACGGCCAAGTAAATCGTCATTACATGCACTACTGGTCACATGAAAATTCTCGTTGGCTAAGACAAGTTGATCATCAAAAACCTTGGTCAGTTAATGTCTGGTGCGGTATTGTTGACAATAAAATAATTGGGTCTTTTTTTATTGATGACAATTTCAATGGCAGAAAGTATCGGAATTTTTTGTTGAACGATTTACCGGTTTTGTTGGAAGACCTTACTTTGGAGCGAAGACTTGCGCTATGGTATCAGCATGATGGATATCCATCTCATTATGCTCTAGCCGCAAGAGAAGTTTTAGACGAAATGTTTCCTGAAAAATGGAATCACCCGACTTTTACTTTTTCTCCCGATTTCTTTCTGTGGGGTTACCTCAAAGAGAAAGTTTACAACCAGGTTCAAACAACACCAAACGACATGAAAAACCGTATCAGAGCAGCTTGCGAATCAATAACTGAAGAAATGCTTGGCAAAGTGCAAAGAACGTTTTCAATGAGAATTCAGAAATGTTTAGAAGTGAATGGTCATCATTTTGAGCATTTAATCGTTGTATAAAGGTAACTTTATAAATTTTAATCAATGTTCTAAAGTGATTTCAAAAATAAAGAAGAATTTTAGTACTATTTTACGATTAATTAAATCGTTTTTTTATTAATTACATTTTTTTAATTACAATTTGAAAAATGTTGTTTTATTTTTCTTTTTGAAATTTTTACACAAATCACATCATGACACATCATCACGTATAGCACTTACTAATTTGTTTTGGGCGTAATAATAAACTTTGTAGAATAAGTAATTGCTGGTGCAATAGCAAATAACATAAGAAACAATTAAAAAAATTGGCGCACAGAAAATAAAATCCCACTCCGTACCAGAAATAAAGCGATTTTTGTTGATTCTTCTAAAAAACTTTTAGTTCTCGAATGCATAAGTGTAATTTCGCTATCTTGTATCAAAAATAACTATTAAGTTCATTAAGTTGAGTTTTTGATTATTACATTATATCATTAGTTATTATGATGTATATTTATTTCACCTTTAGCTGACACAATTGATTCCATTAGGATGTACTTACATCCGCTATTTGATAAGGTCACGAACATCACCTATGTGTACCCGGTTTCGATTTCACGGATGGATCTCGTTTCTCAATTGCAGATTGAGAATGTCCCTGGCGTTCTCTTCATGTCATCTCAAACGACCAGGGTAGATACCACGTAATCACCAAGGATAAGAGGATGTCCTATCAAATTGTCGTTACACCCTCGATCCTCTTTGTCCTTTTTTCGATTACATGTAACCGTACGTTGTAATTGCGTTCGTTTTACCAAGACTCGTTATTACATTCGAATCGTTCAAAAATAAAATAAAAAGTGTATTTTTTTTTGGTAATAGTCTTAGGAAATTCTTAAACTAGTTTCGGCTAAACGCCATCATCAGATACAAACTTTTTATTGATATATTACAAGTCGTATTATTAAATTAAATTTTGTTTTGTTTTAGAAACTAAGCAAGAATTGGAAGACCTTATGGCCGATATCAAGAAAACTGCCAACAAAGTTCGTGCCAAGTTAAAACGTAAGTACTAATTACATTGTTTAAAAAAAATAAACAAATTTAACTACTAATTTGAAATGTTATGCAAAACGTTTTATCACTTTTCCGTAACAAGTTCGAGAGAAAAAAAATACACTCCATTCGTTTTAGCGAAAAACTTTTCGTGTTTTAGAATGCTTCTAGAATGTTTCTAGTACCAAAAGTTTTATACGACACAACTGGATGTTTCCGCGGTCCCGAAAAGTTTTAGTTTTAGATAGAAATTTACTTCTTACGGATTTTAAAAGATTTCTTTTTTTAATTGCAACACCTTGTTTTAATTTAATTATCTTTTATTTATATATAGTGATAGAACAAAACATAGAACAGGAAGAACAAACAAACAAGTCGTCGGCGGACCTTCGGATAAAGAAAACGCAGCATTCCACGCTGTCTAGGAAGTTCGTAGAAGTAATGACGGAGTACAACCGAACACAAACGGATTACAGAGAACGGTGTAAAGCTAGAATACAACGGCAACTGGAGATCAGTGAGTTTTACTTTGAAACTTTTTATACTTGCGTAAAATCAAAGGAAGAAAACAATGCACTCTAAATACAATACCCTTAATAAATCTATTCAATGAAATTGTCTTTTTTATTTTCAACAGTAAAAAATAATTCTTTTTAGAATGTTGTGTAATTTTGTGATATATTTTTTAGCGGGTAGACAAACGACGAACGAAGAATTGGAAGAAATGTTGGAACAAGGAAATCCGGCGGTGTTTACGCAAGGTGTATGTGTTGAGATGATCGGGGTTTTCTTTTGCTCCAAGATCTGAGATCGAATTCCGTTTCTTGTTTGCAGATCATAATGGAAACGCAACAGGCGAAGCAGACACTCGCCGACATTGAGGCAAGACACGCGGATATTATCAAATTAGAGAATTCTATTAGGGAACTGCACGATATGTTTATGGATATGGCAATGTTGGTGGAGAATCAGGTAATATTCTTCAACTTTTTATTAGTCTAAATATAAGATTTTTGGCAATTTTATTTCATAAGGGTTGAGTTATTAAGAATAAGTAATGTTTAAATCTTGTATATATTATTATATATACAATTTATATTTTATCCCTACCACATCGTAATTATTCATTCCATTTAAGATATTTTTCCTTTTTATATGTAAGTACTACCTTAATCTGCAGAAACTATAATTACTTTAGTCTAAGTTTCGCTTCTTATATTCGGTGTTTGACTTTCCTTGGTTTTCTTGCTGATAGTTTCGGTAATTTCGTACAAAAAAACTTTGCTCTGAAACATTTGTCTTCAGCGCCATTATAGAATTGTAAGTTATGCATTTGCAGTTTTTTAAGTGTTTCTCCTGCTTAAATTCACAAAACATAAAATAAATAAGCGGTATATAACAATTTCAACAAAAATAATGGAAGTTTAATGAAATAAAGGAGAATAATAAAGATATTGAAGCTGAAAATGTCTAAAATATAATGACTTTCTGATCGAAAGAAGTGAAATGTTAAAGTTGAGATTACCGTTACGTAGAATATATGAACATATAAAAAAAAACATATGCATCCCATTTAAAATAACAATGTTGGTTGCCATAGTAACGAAACAAAAAACAATGTAAACAAGCAAATCGCCAATATATGCGCCACAATTAATAAAGAAACTTTTATTTGAAACATTTTTGTTTAAAACCACAAATGACGAAGTTATTGGTTATATTCCAGACATTTGACACACCCTGTATATTTATTGTTACATCCGATAAGAGTGACCATATTGATAAATCGTCATACAAAATGTAAAATCTATTATTAATATTGACAACATTTTGATTACAATTAATGTTTAATATATGTATTAGTAAAGCTATCGATTTCATTACTAGTTAAGTGGAAATTGGATATAATTAAACAAAATTAAATAAATTTTGGATGTTCATAAATCTATTATTATAACTTAACTTGCTTAAACTTAAATTATATGTTATGAGGAAAAATTAATTTAAGAATTTAGCTAGGTGTTTTTGAATATTTTATTTTAATTTATTCAAACCTATAAATAATGAATTTTATCGTGGATTTGTTAAAAAAATAAATTAAAGTATTTAGTGAAGTTAAAAAAATGTATAAAGGAGTTTTACTGCTTGATTCTAAGTTTGTATCAGAATAAATCCATAAATGTTGTATGAATAGTTTAATTTTCATAACAACTTTCGTTAAAACTTGAACTTTGAAACGTTAATAAATGCATAATCATATCTAATCTTAAATATAAACTTATAATACATATAAAAAATCAAGAAAATCAAACAAAATCTTATTAAAAAATAAACATCACTTCAGGAACCCAAACGCTACGAAGATCATGAAGTTCAGAATGGCTCTGAAATAAATTAACTTGTTCATTCAAATGGTAAATAGAGTCCGGAATAGTACTCAGGTTAAGGTTCAAGCAAACACCACGAGTTCCTACTCTAAAATTATTACTTGGTTAAGTATAAGGAAACCAATTTCCACAGTTTTTAGAGTTTTAGTCAATAATCTGAAAGGAGAGTGGGTTACAAAGTTAAAAACGTAGTCTAATATACAGTGGTGGTCATATAATTAGGGACAGCATTTTTTATTTTAAAATGTTGAGTTTTTTTATTAAATTGCTTTATTCGATTTCTTGAACGAAAAAAAATTATGTTTATTATCTTATAATTCATGTAATTATTAAAAACAAAAACGAAAATAATACATAATTGGCAATTTTAAAAATAAAATAAATACATATTGGCTATTTTAATTTGGACAACTAATTAAGGACACTTTAAGTTTTTTTATAAATTAACAATTAATTAATTAACAACGTTTTAAATGTAAATTTTCATTAATATTTAATATTTAGTAGGATAACTAATATCATAATATTTAATATATTTCATTTTTGTTAAAAAAAAGGATAAAAACGCGAATTACAAAAAATAGCATAAAAAACACGTTTCGCAAGACTTAAAGCACTCATTCATCAAAAAACTCGTGAAACTTGAATTCGTGCATTTCAAGCGTGTCTTACAAAACTAGTTTTTTAATATACTATTACCATCCGCTAGAATCTTTTTTAACAAAAACATCAAAATAAGAAAATAAAATCCATAAATACTTCAACAATTCTATTTAAATGAAAAACTAACATTAACTTCAACATTGGGTACGTTCAGCAGGTGTCAACAGTTGAATTAAATCAGTCAACTAGTTGTATGAGCTTTAATACAGCGGAACGAAATCGGCTGAATAACCAATTGAGAATTAGCGGTGCTGCATACCCTAAAACTATGGCTAAAGAGATAGCGGATGATGCGTTTCTGCATTAATAATATTCATTTTTATACAGTTTTGTCAGTTTTCAAAATTAAAGGGGAGAAACAAAAAATGTTAATCCTAACCTGGAATTTCACAACCGCTGTTTTCAAATTTCTGTTGTTTTTTTGCTTCTTGAACTATTTCTTTTGAAACGACCACTTCTCCTTCGTCGCCAACAGAAAATACCTCTGTAATTTCCATTTTTGTCATTAAATATTTCACTACAAAAACTGAACACAACAACAACTGGCTTATTCCACAATTTTATTCTGGATTTTTGTGTCGTTATATTATAAAATTCAAAACTTCGAGCGAACATAAAATGTTGTATGTACCACGAGCATAATTAGCGTTTGTGACCCTTAGCGTGTTATGTCATGCCGCGGACCACAAATGCCTTCATTACGCCCTTAATACATGAATAACTATTAGGCATCTCAGCTTTTTTTTACCCATGTCTTGTAGATAATCAACAGTGTTGAAGATTTTGGAGAGCATATTGAGGGCAATGTCATAACTCGCTTGTCTTAATAATCTAAGCAAATCCCAAAAATAGAAACTTCAGACATTCTTTGGAAATCGTTTAAAATTTTCCGAAATCTACATAATATATAAAAATTCTTTGCATTTTTTTATTATTCTCTGAAACCCTTATAATGTCCCGGAAAATGCTTGAACACATTCCAGATTTTTTTAAATTTACTCTGAGAATCCTTGAAAATCTAGAAACATGTGAATTCTTCAAAATTCTCAGATTCTTTGTCAAAAACATTAAGATATTCTTAGCGACACTCCAAAGAGCCTTATAAATCGAGATCCAACGCCAATAATTTTTTAAAACTCTTTGGAAACATAAAATACATCGAAATTTATCAGTAATATTCTAAAAATTTTTGGAAGTATCCAAAAAATTATTGATAATATACAGGGTGATTCTCAACCTATACGCATAAACTTGGGGATTTTCTCCTGATGACGATTAATGACTAATAGGCAAAAATATTTGTAGTAAAAGATTTTCTGTTTCATAGATATCTGTGATATTTACTTTCAAAACAAGAATACATAGAACATTTTAAAATAACATCACAGCAAGTGTTCGAAGTTATTTCCCATATTTTTTATCAATTGGGCTCCCCTAATCCACAATCTCCCACTAGCACAACATAAACCTAGGGTGTTTATATAGGGTGTTACCTGATTTTGCAATAGTTGCTCAGTATTAAATTCCGTGGCGTACACCATGCTTTTTAAGTGACTTGAAAAGTAAAAAATCAAGAGGATTGAGGCCGGGCGATCACTGTGGCCAGGCCATTGGACCATCTCTACCTATCCATCTTCCAGGAAACACATTATCTAGATGTCGCCGATTATATCGGATATCTAGGAAATTAAAAAATGTTTACTACAATTTTTTTCATCTATGAGTCATTATTTGTCATGAGGAATAACTCCCCAAGTTGATGCGTATAGGTTGACAATCACCCTGTATTACATCTCAAATAAACCCTAGAAATAGATCTTTCAAAATTTGGAATTGAAAATGGTTGGAAACTTTTTTAAAAGTATAAAGATTTAAATTGATACTGAGCTTAAATTTTCAGTATCAGTTCTAAAATTCGTAAAACCAAAAAAAAAAACCTGTTGTATAAGTTAATTACTTATTCAAAATACCACGCTTCTTAACGTGGTGCGCAATTAAAGCACTCTTTTCTTCACGCATCAATCGCTTTTATGCTGATTAATACAGTTGGATCAGTATTGGAAAGTAGTTCCTATATAAGAATCATTATAATTGTTGCATTGGATTTTATAGATTATATGAAACTTAGATAACATTGGTACAATGTCGTTAGTTCTTGAAAACAAACTGGAGAGTGGTAAATAATCAAAAACATCTTCAACCCTGTCAAAAAAAAAGCTGCACAGATGATTGAATTAAAATTAAGTTGACGCCACCACTGGCTGCAATTTTTTTAACAAAGATAAAGTTAGATGATTCAAACAAGCACTTTTAATGCAATAAACAGCTCTTTATTAATAGATGTTGTCTCTTCTAAGAGCTCCCATTTAGTATAGAGGTATAGGAGACAATAAGGCTTGTAAATTTTTGGAGGGCCATAGAACTTAGGTGTCATACTCAAAATTGAATACGTAAACTGACGAACAAATAAATAAATTGATTTTTGTATGTACTTTGATTTATTCATACAAAAAGTAATCTGACCTTTATCAGCTCTTAATATGAGGGGAAGAATGCCGGTCGTTAAATGTTGCTATGATTTTGTTAGTAAAAATTAATGATTACATTAGAGCAGTGGTGTCCATAACGTCGATCGCTAAGAAAATCATGAATCTGAAATATCTAATATCTGGGCCTCAGAGCAAAAAAAAGGAAGGTTAGGAAGGTCGATTTAGAGCAGTAGTGCTCTAAATCGACTAAACATCAACATTGTTGATTTTCGAAAATTAACTCAATCATAACTCAAAAACTAAAAGCGATGGGGAAATATTTTTTATACATAAAACCTTAGTAATGGACCATAAAGACTAGATCCATAAAAAGATTGAACCCAATTATTACCATTTTTTATTTATAAGCTCTAAACCGATTAAACATCAAAATTGNAGTATAAAGATTTAAATTGATACTGAGCTTAAATTTTAAGTATCAGTTCTAAAAAACTCTTATATAAGTTAACTAGTTATTCAAGATAGCAGTATTATCGAAATGAAGATGATATCGCTTCTTAACGTGGTGCAAAGCACTCTTTTCTTCACGTATCAATCGCTTTTATGCTGATCAATACAGTTGGGTCAGTATTGGGAAGTAATTCCTATATAAGAATCATCATAATTGTTGCATTGGATTTTATAGATTATATTGAAACTTAGATAACATTGGCACAATGTAGTTAGTTCTTGAAAACAAACTGGAAAGTGGTAAATAATCAAAAAACATCAAGAACATCTTCAACCCTGTCAAAAAATAGCCGCACAGATGATTGAATTAAAGTTAAGTTGACGCCACCACTATTAATGCGATAAACAGCTCTTTGTTAATAGATGTTGTCTCTTCTAACAGCTCCCATTTAGTATAGAGGTATAGGAGACAATAAGGCTTGCAAATTTTTGGAAGACCGTAGAACTTAGGTGTCATACTCAAAATTGAATACGTAAACTGACGAACAAATAAATTAATTGATTTTTGTATGTACTTTGATTTATTCATACAAAAAGTAATCTGACCTTTATCAGCTCTTAACATGAGGGGTCGTTAAATGTTGCTATGATTTTGTTATCAAAAATTAATGACTACATTAGAGCAACGTGCACTTTTTTCATTTTGTTCACATTTCAACATCTATGAGCAATTTGGAAAATTGAAGCCGCATCAGGTACCAAAGCATAATTTGAACCCACACCAAAAATTTTTTATAATTTCAGGAACCTCAACATTACTTCTGTTAACAAACCAACCGTCATTTTTTTATATACAGGCTGTGTCAAATGTCTGGAATATAGCCAATAACTTCGCCATTTGTGGTTTTAAAGAAAAATGTTTCAAATAAAAGTTTCTTTATTAATCGTGGCGCATTTTTGGCGATATTTGCTTGTTTGTATTGTTTTTGTTTCGTTACTATGACAACCAACATTGTTATTTTAAATGGGATGCATATGTTTTTTTTGCATATTTTTATAGAGGATAAACGCATTTTTTCCCGATTTTTTTCTTATACAACCATATGATTTGATATGTTCATCTCGTAGAGGGATTTATCTTCTATCAAAATATGCAAAAAAAATATGCGTCCCATTTAAAATAACGTTAATGTTGGTTGTCATAGCAACGAAACAAAACACAATGTAAACAGGAAAATATCGCCAAGAGATGCGTCACAATTAATAAAGAATTTTTTATTTGAAACATTTTTCTTTAAAACCACAAATGGCAAAAATGTTGGCCATATTCCAGACATTTGACACACCCTGTATATCGTCATAACCTAGCATTTGAAAAATTAAAGAGCTTGTTTTTTATACCGAGCTTTAGGAATTAAACAAGAGCAACGTTGTTTTAATTTGTTCCAGTTCCTTTTTGAATGTAATTCAAAATCCATAAAACCAACATATCCTTTTTAAAAATAGCTTTTCTCTTTATTAATAACCATTTTTATTTATAAAAACTAAAAAAAAACACTTATTCTTAATAACTCAACCTGTGCAATAAATATTATGATTATATTATTGTATATTATATTATTTAAAAATTGCTTGTTATCTAAATCAATTGTACAAAATTGAAGTGAACTTTTAATTAACGATATGCAAAACGTTTTGCAATTACCATAAAATGCACTTTATGAAACATTATCACTATAAATTTAATTGAATTTTTGATTTAATTCGGGATAATTTGTTCTACACGAATAATTTTCCGGCTACATCGAGTTTATTATTGTTGTATGTTTACATTGTTAACAAGAACTTCTCTTTAGGTACACTAATTACTTTTCTTTTTAAAAATTTGTTAAGCTGTGCCCAGCAGAAAAAACCTTGAGGCTTTTGGTTTTCTTTTGCTATAAAAATAACGCACATTTTTTAAACATCGGCATATAACAAAAAAGTTGGTTATAATGACTAAAACAACTATAATAAATAAACAAAGTACTAACAGCATGTAAAATTTTTGCTTGGCTACATTTTGTATAATTCATACTATCTCGTTTTTTTCTTTTACTTCTTCCTCTCTGCTGGGAACGAAAAAAAATGTAGGGCGAAATGATTGATCGTATCGAGTACCATGTAGAACACGCAGTGGATTACGTGCAAACGGCCACCCAGGATACCAAAAAGGCCCTCAAGTACCAAAGCAAAGCTAGACGGGTGAGCAATTCCATAGTTTTTAGATGAGAGCTGTGTTTTCCGGCTTTTAATTGTACTTTTGTTTCTTCCCAATAATCACCTTTTTTACCACTCCCTAATATCTCCATCAACCGTAATTATTATTTTTTTAAAAATCTTCAAACTATATTTATTAATTTGTGTGGCTTCCTCGGTGTCGCATAATGCTGTCTTTTATATTATATTATAAATGTTTCCCCTTCCACATTTTTTTTCTAATTTATATTTAAATAATCGTATTTTGTATACTTGTATGGTGTGGTGTAACGGTCATAACTAACTCTACTATGTACTATTTTGAACGTAATTTAATCGGTGTTATGATTAATATTATTATTATTAATTACACTTAATAATTAACATTGGTGTTGAAAAATACTGTTTCGCTGTCAAATATGCTATGTGTGTTACTATTTATCTACTTGAAATCATTGCATCGTCCACATGAATAATCCTTTTGGCCACTTCACTATGATTTCCCAACATTCCCGTATTCCTCGATAAAAATTAGGGAGACCTTGTTGACAGCGTGGAGTTTCACGTGAGTCAAGCCACAGTACATGTTTCTCAAGGACGTGAAGAAATGGGATTGGCGCAAAAATATATGACCAAGGCGAGGAAGGTAATGTTCTAATAAAGTGAAAAAATCTTTATGTATAAAAAACCACTGCAATTTAGACCAGATTCATAATAATTACTCAAATTATACTAATTCTAAATTTATAATACTTAACTTTTTTATAAATTAATTCTTATAACATTACTTCATTTTTAAATTATGTTTAAAAATTACAAAACTTCACTAAACTAGTTCATCCTCCGTCTCATTGCCATCAACACCAGTGGGAGAGGTATCAAATCAGAATATAGTTCTTACCGAGATTGTTCGATCCTCGGACATTATCAGAAAACTTCTGTTCCATCTCTCGCGAGCGTTTTTGAACCGTCAGAAATTTGATAAATATCAGTCTGTTTTGGTATCAATCCAGGACTGCCCCTCGGGAAGCAGAGTCTTTAAGAAAAGACACTAGTGATTCTGCCAAGCGCGATGAAGTGGGGGTTAGCAACTATAATAATATAGTCCTCGACATTAGATAGCTCAGCGGATGTACTTGCCTTGATCTATAGATAGCCGTCACACTCTTTCTCTATGTACAAATGGACCGCGTTATGCATCACTTCACTAAGCGACAAAAGAATAATGTTGAGAAAAATGGGATTTTCATTTTCATCTGTCTAAAAATATAAGACTTCTCAGAATAGAGAGGCACAAACTATTGAAAATTATTTGGTGTCTGTCCATTTTTATTACAGAACACTATCACAAGTACAGAAGCCGCTTGGTCTAAATAAATCTAAAATAATCTAGAGTTTGATTTTTTACTTTTAAACTGGTTTTTATTTTATATAGAATTTAAGTCTAACCAGTTTCGGCCCTTGGCCACCTTCAGAGCCTCTACAAATAGATTAACATCGCTCATCTTATCCATTTTATAAACAAGTTTCTTAATATTTCTTTTTGTTTTGTTAAAAAAGATCACAGATCAAAGTCGAAATCAGATTATTAGTTACTAATTTACAAAATTAAAGTTTAAATAGTTGTAAAATGTAATTAAGGACGAAGAGTTACAAGTTTACAGGTTAAAATTTAAGAACGCTCTTTTTTAACAAATGAAACATTAAGAAACTTGGGAAAAATTCAAGAATCATCATGTGGCTTAAAAATCGACGACTTTTTTTAATCAATGTGAAATTACACAAAAAAAAACACGCTAAAAATAAAAAGAAAGTGCGGAAAAGTGAATAACACTAGATTAACTTCAATTATAAAACTTCTATTATATGATAACTAACTTCAGGTTTAAAATGTCAACCTCAATTTTGACATATTTGTAATCTTCATTAAAAATCCTTTAAAATGAGTACAAACACGACATATTTATCTTCAATATTAATGAAGTTATGGTCAAGTTCCGGTTAAGAATGTCAACGTCAAATTAGTCCAAACATGATATGTTTAATTCCAATGTTACTCGAGATATAAGCAACTTCCGGTTTAAAATATCAAATGTCAACTGTCTTAATATTTGTCACAAAACAAAAATATATAATAAAAAAAAATAAAAAATTAAGGTTGGTATTAATATTTAAAAATTAAATTGCTATCTTCATTCTTGCTAACTTAGGGTTTAATGTTTTCTATTCTAACTTTTTTGTTTTTTGAGATAAGTGCGTCATCTTTGGACTCATTTTAAAGGTTTTTTAATGAAGATCACAAATATGTCAAAATTGACGTTGACGTTTCAAACCGGAAGTGATTTTATTTCCATTCATATTAAAGTTAAATATGTCAAGTTTGGACTCATTTTAAAGGATTTTTTATGAAATTGACAAATATGTCAAAATTAAAAGTTGAAAGTTCGAACTTTTTGGTTTTTTGAGATAAATGCGTCAAGTTTGGACTCACTTTAAAGATTATTTTATGAAGATTACGAATATAATAATAAAATTAAAGTTTACATTAACATCTGAAAGTTTTTTTACGACTAAACCCGAATGATTCTAGTTCTAGGTTTTGTGTTAGTTCTAGTGATAGTGCTAGTGTAAAACTAGAACTAACACTAGACCTAGAACTAGAATCATTTGGGTTTAGCCGTCTTGAGAGACTTGGGGCTAAATCCGAATGTTTCTAGTTCTAGGTCTAGTTTTAGTGCAATAAAAATATGCAACATAGCGATATCTTATGCTAACTAGCGCTACCTATCGCTGTCATTTGTAAAATGGATAAGATGAGAGATGTTAATCTATTTGTAGAGTCCCTGATGGCCAACTGCCGAAACTAGTTAGACTTAAACTCTATATAAAATAAAAGACATACACTTTTAATTTTATACTAACATCTAGAAAATAACACTGGCCCGAAATTGTAGGTTCCATATACTTTTTCTATTGTAGAATTTCTTGGTGTATCTAAGTGTCGTATCTAATTGTAAGTCGGTTCTTAGACGTATGATGCAAATCGGACTTGAAATCGTATAACGTGATTGGCGTTTAGCTTTATCCTTTAAAACAAACAGTATTTTATGTCTTTATATATTCTGAATTTTTTCTAAGATAAGTTACATCTTTACCTACCACACAGCATGAAAATCTATAAAAACGATAAAATGTCGCTTAGTCAAGTGATGTATAACGCGGTCCAAATGCAGAACAGATTGGCTAAACAAGAGGTTCATCGCTGTAGTTTGGGTGGTATCTATTTCTTGCCAATTCAACAATCCGTTGGTTACATGAAAGTTCACGAATAGCTGAAACCTTTTGGCTTTTCTTATGCCATGCCATACATGATATCCAGTCTAACAGCAGATAAAATCCAGATAAAATCGGTGTAGTCTATTATACGAAAACTGTGGGGAACTCTCTACAGGGTTGTATATATAGCATTCACTCTTAGACTGCAGATAATCCTTTGTACAATCTTTTAATATTTACTCCAGTTACAAAAACTATCTTAAGGAGTTACCAAGTGCCAAAGTGCAGTTAGATGTGTTTTTGTACTCGTCCAGTCTTCGAAGGCTCTTAATCTGAGGTCTTCAAACGCGACATAGTCATACAGTATGTATTTGGCTGTCTAATCGTTTTGTTCATAAGCATGACATAGAGGACTATCAACAAATTTTATCTAATATTACAAAATTCTGAGTTACCTCCTATGATGAAGATCACTACATTTCGCCTATAGTTGTTTGAGTTGATGGCAAAAATATACAACCTAATGCCATGATGTCCAGTCTAACGGCAGTTACATAAAATCGGTGTAGTCTATTATACGAAAACTGTAGGGAACTCTCTACAGGGTTGTACATACGCAGTCTTCACTCCTTGACCCCAGATAATCCTTTGCACAATCTCCTAATATTTACTCCAGTTACATAAACCAACTTAAGGAGTTACCAAGAGCCAGAGTGCAGTTAGGTGTGTTTTTATACTCGTCTAGTCTTCAAAAGCTCTTAATCTGAGGTCTTCAAACGCGATATAGTCATACAGTATGTATTTGGCTGTCTAATCGTTTAGTTCATAAGCATGGCATAAAGGACTATCAACAAATTTTATCTAGTATTACAAAATTCTGAGTTACCTCCTATGATAAAGAGCACTGCATTTCGCCCAAAGTTGTTTGAGTTGATGGCAAAAATATACAACCTAATGCCATGGTATCCAGTCCAACGGCAGTTACATAAAATCGGTGTAGCCTATTATACGAAAACGGTGGGGAACTCTCTACAGGGTTGTACATACGCAGTCTTCACCCTTTGACCCCAGATAATCTTTTGTACAATCTCCTAATATTTACTCCAGTTACATAAACCATCTTAAGGAGTTACCAAGGGCCAGAGTGCAGTTAGGTGTGTTTTTATACTCGTCTAGTCTTCGAAGGCTCTTAATCTGAGGTCTTCAAACCCGATATAGTCATACAGTATGTATTTGGCTGTCTAATTGTTTTGTTCATAAGCATGACATAGAGGGCTATCAACAAGTTTTATCTAGTATTACAAATTTTTGAGTTACCTCCTACGATGGTCTTTTAATATGTAAAATTAAGAAATTTTTGGTCATATTCATTCTCACTGTATATTCTGGTCTAATTTACTCTCCCTGTCTAATATATTAAATGGACTAGTACTTTACAAAATAACACAAGTTTTTTTATGTAATCATAGGGTCGCAACTCTTTATATAATCGATTTAAGATTAGTATAATATAAATATAATTTATGAATGTGGCTTTAAATTTCGATTAAAACATCCTATTGTCCCAATATCTCAAAAACCTCTTTAACCATTTTTGATCGAAGGATACTTTTCGTAACTCAGGTGAATTTCTAATTTTTATTAATTTAATTTTGAATTATTATTTGCTGGCTATTAAGAATGTTGTTATTACTGAGAAATGTGGAGCATTATCAAAATAGAATTAATTTTTTACAAACTCAAACAGTCAAAGAAAACTCTCACGTTTAAATGTTAATCCTTTCTTACAAAACAAATCTGTCGCTTGCAAGTCTATGTAAATCTGTTTATTTTTTAGTTTAGTTATAATTTGTAAAAGAAATTTCTGTTAAACGTCTATAAACGTTCACGTTAACTTTTCTTTAAAGTATTACACGTCTGTTTTCTATTTATTTTTTCTGTTTCCGTGTTTGTAGCCTCACTGTTTCCATAGCTAATTCTGTGATTATTAGATTAAGCAAACGTTTTTATTTATTTATTTTTTCTTTTTCAGAAAAAGATCCTGATAATAATCTGCTTGATAGTGGCTCTCATCATTTTAATTATTCTTTTAGCGACATTATTACCGAAGTAGGCATGACAATTATTTTAATATAAGTATAAAAGTTCTTATTAAAAAAATAATTAATCATGATTAATCAACACATATTATTTACGTTGCCATCTCAAATTTAATTGAAATTTGGAAGACAATTTCATTACAATTTGAGGTTTAATTTGTATTTAAACTGTGTTGATTTAATTTGGAGCGACCCAATAATATTCTATTGTTCCTAAAGCGGGATTATTTTTTTTAGAAAATTAATTAAAATGTAAATAAATGTATACTTATTAATTAATTTATTAATGCACAATTTATACTAAGTTCATTTGTAAAGTCTTTAATAAATTATAAAGTGAGAAGTTTTTGTTTGAAGGGATTTTTCTTTCTTGTGAGAGTTTCTAATTTGCACTATACTATACTACTTCTCTTTTTTATTTGATCTAAACTAAATCACACTTTCTTAATCAAATTGCAATCTATTTTAGGAATTATTAACAGAACAATCTTTAATTTGATATAATAAAACCGTAAGTATACAAAATGTAATGACCACTTGATGTATCTACATATATTTTTTGGGTGATGGTGCTCTATCTTTCTACAACAGCAATAACAAGTTTCTAATGCCTTGACATTTCTTTTCAGCTTAAGATAATTCATTTATTTCATTTTGAACTATATTTTTTTTTAAATCACATTTTTCAAATATAGAGTATTTAAACGTAGTGTTTGAAACGAAAATCTCAATAATAATATTAGGATTAACAATTAATTATAACGATTTATATATTTATATTTTGATAAATATAACTTGACCTATTTTAAAACAATTGGTTTTTAATGCAAAATATTTTAAAATCTAATTTAAAGAATTCTGTGGTTTTCAGCGGAAATCCGTGGAATGATATCAAATTATTTTGCTAATTCTCGTTGGCCGTATTTAAAATGTTGGCAAAATTAATTTCTACAGGCTTTCCCAAAAGTAACGGATAAATTCGGGAAAACCATTAAAAACAGTTTATGAAAAAATTGCTGAGACGGGTCTAAAAATTTAAATTTTGTGCAATAGTTTGATATACAGTGTCCGCCAAAAAGTCAGCAACACCCGTTTCATTTCTGTTCCATTGTATCTACGTTTCTGAAATTTAGTTTATATAGGAGGTTCATACCGATCTTTTGATCTAAAGTATTTTCAAAATAACGAAGTTGTGGTCTACTTCCGGGAAGTAGACCACAACTTCGTTATTTTAAATGAAATGCTATAGTTTTTATTGCACCTAGGTACCTAGCGTTTTTCGTTTTCGAGTTATTCTGATTTTAAATTTTTCTTGGCAATTTTCACCATGCTTTTTAAAACTGCATATCTAAGCAAACATTCATTCAAAAAAGCTCTAAATTGGCACGATTACTCTTCAAATGCTGTCAAATAGATTGTCATTTACTGTATCACAGTATCTTATACAGGTGGTCAAAAAGTGAATTACCTTTTTTCCGCATTCAATGGCAACAAAGTCAAAAATTTTAAATGCTATGCCCCATTTTTTATTAGCTCACCAGAAAGGGAGTTTGCCATTTATTAGACCATGATATTTTGACAGTTTTTCGTTTAATTTATTTTTACAATTAACTTTGGTTGATAATCTTTTAGTTTACTATCTTTTATTTACCAAAAATAACAAAGAGAAGAACAAATGAAACCAAAAATGAAAACAAAAATTAAGTTTGGATATTAAATTTAATTCTCTCTCAAAAAAAAATATGAGGCATTCAATTTAAAATTTTCAGCTTTCTTGCCATTGAATATGGAAAAACGATAATTCAATTTTTGATCACCCTGTATAAGATACTCTGATACAACAAATGACAATCAATTTGATATCACCTTAAGAGTAATCATACCAAGTTAGAGCTTTCTTGAATGAATATTTTCCGAGATATGGAGTTTTAAAAACATGGTGTAATTTACCAAACAAAAACTTAAAAACAAAATAACTTATCAAAGTCAACATATTTTTTCGCATACAATTAAAAGGTGCATAAAAAATTATAGCATTCCATTTAAAATAACGAAGTTGAGGTCTACTTCCGGTGGACCGGAAGTGGCCACCATCTTGAAAATACTTTAGATCGAAAGAGCGGTATGAGCCTCCCATATAAGCCAAATTTCAGGAACGTTGATGCAATAGAACAGAAATAAAACGGGTGTTGCTGACTTTTTGGCGGACACTGTAGATTTTAAATTTTTTTCGCCATTTTTAAATGAGTAATGACGTCATCGATATTTTTTCAAATAGCAATGCCCCATTTCTATTACTGAATCTGGTACAGTTTTTAGTACTTTTTTTCTGAATCTAGTACAGTCAATATTAATATTGGTTACATAAGAAAATTTTCGAGAAAAATTATCTTAAAGACTCATTATTTTCCATTCATTGGAGATAGAAAAATAGCAGTAGCCATGCGTAACCATGACAACCAACTGTTTCAGATATAAAAAATTAATTATTCTAATTAATAGTTAACTAATAATTAACTATTAGTCTAAGATCCATTACTACCATGTTTTAGGCCCACCTCTTGATAAATTTATCCGATAGATAAATTGGCGCACTTAGCCAATGAGAAAACGCTTAAAACCGCCGTAACCATGGTAATTATCCCTTAGATAGTTTATCAGGAGGGTGGTACAACCGGCCCTTATTAGTCAAATTTATCTTATAGATAAACCCATCTACTAACCAATCAGACCGGGTAAAATAACCGTAACCGTTGTAATAATCACTTAGATAGCTTAACCAGAAGATGGTGGTAACGAGCCTTAGGTCCACTACTACCACTCATAGTTAAAGTCTCTGATAGCGTTATCTATCGGATAGCTTAAAAATTGGTTACTACTACTGTATTTATCTTATAGATACCGCTATCCAAGGGATAACTGCGGATACCTAACCTCAAATAGAATTTATACTGACGTATAAAATTCGAGCGTTTTACTATTTCAGTTAAAATAAGAAAAGTAATATAAACTTAAATAAACAACTATTAATAATTAACACTAGATAAAATCATCATGGATAATTTCTTCGACATTGGAGATGAAGAACAAATTTTTGAAGAAATCAATGAATTATTTCCAATAAGAAGCGAAAGGATAATAAGGAGTAGAGTTGACCATTTAAATATTCATTCAGATGTTGAATTTATGACGAGATTTCGTCTCTCGAAAAAAAGTTTTCATCACCTTTTGAATCCTGTATAACTTTTTCATGATCTAATCTATGATTGTATAAATAAAGAGCACACTGCATCCAAACTGCTTACCTGTGGGCCAATCTAATAACGGCGATAATACCTGATTCTCCTTGGCCTTCTTATTTAACGTGTTAAATCGTGATGACTTCTTTCTTTAGCGGCCATATCCTCTTGATCGTAGCAACTTCAATGTGACATTGTTGTATTAGCCCTAACATAGTGAGTGAAGGCACAAGAGATTTGGAAATACCATCTTCTGACATAGCAATGAAATAGTGTAGAATATCATCACGTACGGTATATCGAGCCGCGATATACCGGATGTTTAAAAATTATGTTCGGATATTTTACCCACTTCTAGTTTTCATCAAGATAAACAAAAAAGTCTTAGTAAACTTAGGTCCTAAAATCAATTGTACTCGATCTGTGAGTACTCCTGCAGTAGAAGAGGATGTTTTGAGAAGGATTGAAGAAAATTCAGGTACTAGTGTAAGAAGTATCTCTGCTGCAGTAAACATTAATGCCTCTCTAGTTTGGAGAATTTTAAGTCAGCAACAATTGTATCCTTACCATGTTCAACGAGTGCAACAACTTGTCGCTCCAGACTACGTTTCGAGAAGAGCATTTTTTGAAGTGATGTTGCAGAAGCTTGCACAAAATCCGATATTTCATGTTTATTCACTGACGAAGCTGTTTTTACAAAAGACGAAATTTTGAATTTTCATAACAATCACGTTTGGGCGGATGAAAATCCTCACGCTGTTGTGCAATCAAGAAGCCAGTATAAGTTTTCTATAAATGTTTGGCTTGGTATACCAATTGATAGGACCAATCCTATTCCTAATCGCTTAAATGGTGAAACTTATTTGGACTTTCTGCGAAACACTTTGCCGATATTATTCGAAGATGTACCTCTCCAGGATGTTGTAACCCATCCATATGGTTCATGCATGATGGCGCGCTTGTACATTTAGCGATCATTGTTCGTAATTTTCTTAATACTGAATTTTATGGTAGATGGATAGGAAGAGGAGGTTCAATAGTTTGGCCACCTAGATCACCTGATTTAAATCCTCTAGACTTTTTTGCATGGGGTTACTTACAATCATTAGCGTATTCAGCACCTATTAATAATTGTTTAATTATTTTCTTTCCCATCTTTGCTTTTTTTATTGTTTATTTTTGAATTGATGCCCATACCCTGGTACCCTCTCTAGTTTCTATTGTTTTTTTTTTTTTAATTTTATTTTATTACCTTTTATGCTATTTACATTGTCAACTCGGTTGAGTTTGTTTTCATTTTTCTCTTTTTTGAGTAAACTATATTAAAGGGTTCTTTTTATTTTATTTTATTTTTTAATTTTAACAATTAAATTGATGAATTCCTCCTGTTCTCCTGATTTCTACATATAGTACTATCTATAACTGATCAATAATGAAATTTGCTCATTTAAATGTTCGTTCTTTACCCGCTCATTTTCTAGATATTAAGGATTTGATTGTCGATAGGAACTTCGATATTTTGCTGGTAGATTGCGTCCTTGTAGTCACACCACTGCAGGTTCGATGGGTGGCGTTGGCTTTTAGATTAAAGCAACACTGAAATATAATATTTTATTTCAAGAAGTATCTTCCGCTATAGAGCATCTTTGGATTGAACTTATTGACTTTCCTGCTTCCATGGTGATTGGTGTTGTTTATCGACCTCATGGAGGTTTGGGTGAATTTCTCTCGCGTTTTGAAGATGTCCTATCCTATCTTGCTCCATCTTCTGACGAACTTGTCAGCTTAGGTGATTTCAACATCAATGGCTTAGATGTTGATGGCTTTTATGGTAATCGATTTATTCCTACCATTGAGCAGTTTAGTCTTCACCAAGTTATATCGAGTCCAACACGGATCACCCTTTCTTCCGCTACCTTGATTGATTTTATAATCTTAAATGTGGATGCACCAATTGATGAATGTGGAGTCGCTGATATCCACAATATTGCTGATCATTCACTTGTTTTTGTCGCATTATCATTTGAAATACGTCCAAATCCTGTTAAGAGTATTACTTATAGAGATTTTAAGGATTTCAACTCGGAAGCTTTTCTGGACCATCTGCGTGCTGTGCCTTGGTGGGAATTTTTGCATATGTCCAGTATTAGTGATAAGGTTGATTTCTTTAATTATCATATTATCAATCTTTTCAATATATATGCACCTTTCAAGACTGTTGTTTTACGTAAGAATTATCGCCCTTGGGTAACTGACAATATTAAGCTGCTTATGAAGCTGAGGGATAAAGCCTATAGGTCATTTAAGGCCTCCAGATTACCCTCTGATTTTAGCTATTATAAAGAATTGCGTAATTTCACCAATAATGCACTTCAACGTGAAAAAAAAGCTTTTTTATCTCACATATTCAGGGGTGGTGATTCCAGGAAATTGTGGGGTGCCTTTCGGTCTTTAGGCATTGGCGGTAATAGAGCTGGTAGTATTCCTAGCAACATTGGTGATGCTGATTTGATTAACAATTCTTTTTTGGCCTTTCAAATTACCAACTCTGGTGATGCAGAGCTTATTAAATTCTACAACTCTAATATTCTGCCTCAGAACTGTACTACCATATCCTTTTCCTTAGCATCGGAAGACGAAATCTATCGTGCGCTGCAATCTATTAAAACCAATGCAGTTGGCTCTTCTGAATGTGACCGATGATATCTTGCGTGGATTGGATGAGGGAAATGTTACGGCTCTCATCCTAATTGACTTTTCTAAAGCGTTTGACACCCTCCATCATTCGACTTTACTTGCTGTGCTTCATTATGTTGGTTTCTCCGCGTTGGCTATCGATTTTTTCAAAAACTATTTTTTACATCGTTCGCAAATTGTTAAATTTCAGAGTGTTTTGTCGAAGAGAGGTTATATTACAGGTGTACCTCCAGGATCCATCTTGGGACCAATATTATACCTAATTTACACTATTAATCTCTGTTCCAATCTAAAGCATTGCAAAACCCACATGTATGCTGATGATATTCAAATATACCTCAGTTTTGGTGGGAGAGACTTGGGCATGTCCGAACTTCGAATTAATTCTGATCTTGAATTATTGCTTCAGAACGCCAGGCGCAATTGTTTATCTATAAATGCATCAAAATTTTCTGTTATTGTCTTCGGAGGAGAGTTGCCAACGAATAACGTTAGGCAGTCCTTAAATATACTTATTAATAGCGCACGGAACTTTTGTAACAAAACGATACGATTCGATGTTTTAAATAAAATTTGTTTCAATTTCGATTTTGAATCAATTATCTTAATAAAAAAATTTTACATCTTTATTAATTAAGCATCTAATCGTAAGTATAATTATGTATAAAAACGGAAAAATTATTATTTTGAGGTTATCTCCTTAATTATTGATTAAATCAAAAAAAAATGTTGACAAAGTTTGTTTAGAATTGTTTCAGGAACAATTTTTGTTAACACAATTTTTTTTACTGTTCTTTTAATCAAGATTTTCTCAGCGGACGCCACTGAGAACGAGTGGAGGGGGGAAATCGTATCGTTTTGTTACAAAAGTTCCGTGCCCTGCTTATTAACAACCAACGACTTCAATTTTCAGACGTAGTACATAATTTAGGTGTTGCACTGAACTCTGATTTGCGATTTAGAAGTCATGTCAGAAGTCTTCTTCAGTCGGCTTATTGCACCCTCAAGCTGTTGTATTCCAACAAAAACCGTTACATCAATAATTAAGAATACATTTGTGCGAAGCACTTGTGTTATCCATCTTTAACTACGGGGATCCGCTTTACTATTCTTGCATTGATGCTGCGGACAGAATTCGAATTCAACGGGTAAAAAACTCTTGCCTTCGTTTTATATTTGGGATCAGAAGACGGGAGAGGATATCTCACTCGGTTGCATGGGTTGGTTGGCTAGATATGTCACGACGGAGAATGTTACACTGTGCTTGTTTGTATCATAAAATACTTATTTATAAGACTCCTCCTTATTTATATAACAAAATTAGTTATCGTACTGATGTTCATAATATAAATTTTAGACACAGGTATACGTTAACAATACCAAAGCGCCGGCTTAAATTGTTTGAGCGAGCTTTTTTTGTGTGCCTAACATTTATAACAACATTCCTATTCCGATGAGGCTCGAGAATGATTCAAGAGAAATCTTAAAGTGGAGCTGTGGATGCAGCAGGAGGAAATGAGTCATCGTTAATATCATCAATACCTGTTTTATGATTTCACCTTTTGTTTTTCATTTTAATTCGTTAAATTACAATTTTCTGAGTTGACACTGTAACAATAGACTTGGTGCTGGGTTGGGTTTTGATTCATCTTTATGATGTATTATATATTTTTTTTTATATTCAAGGGCCAATGAAAAACAGTTTAGCATTTTTACTTAACTGATTTAGTCCTTTTTAGCTCCTAATTTAGTTTAATTGATATTTTGTTTGATTATGTTACTTTTTATTGTTTTTTATTTTGTAATTCTTCTTGCGGGTTAATAAATATATATTATTATTATTATTATTATTAATAATTTGGAGGATCTCCAGCAAATAATACAAAACACATGTGAGACTATTCGCCAATCTCCAGGAGTCTTCAAAAGAGTGCGCGATTCTTTTGTACGAAGATGTGAAGCATGTCTTCAAATGGAGGGAGATCATGTAGTATTACTTACTTTACGCATTTTGTGTTCAGTTTTTATGTTCTATTTGTATTTTCCCCAATTAAATAAACATTTGAAGACCAAGACGCTTCATTCTAGATTTACTAAGACTGTTTTGTTTATCTTGATGAAAACTATAAGTGGGCAAAATATCCAAACACAATTTTTAAACACCCGGTATAGTTGCGGAAATTCAATCTACCACCTAATTGGTACCAAATCTTTTTTAAAATAGTACTACAATTTTTTTCAAATTAGATTTTGAATCTTTAATAATATAATTTTAAACCGAGACACGAATCTCTGTATAATTAAGGGTATATATTAACAAGAGAATTTTCGTTTAAGACACTACGATTAAAACATTGTATTCAAAATCGTTTTCATCTTTGCTTTTATATATCACGCATATTATAATTTTGTTCGAACTTTCCTTTACATCAAATTTTTTTTTGGGTAGGTATGCAAATTGTGCCCAAAAATTGATAGCACATTTTCATTATTAAAAGCAAATAAATCGATTCAATATCGTTTCTATAACAAAATTTAATTAAGGAAATCCATAAAATAGATCGATATTGAATTGATTTGTTAATGTAGGTGTATGGCTGTTCCCTTTTTCTTTATCCACTTTTTAAATTGATTGTGTACGTGTGTTGCCTGTTAGATGACGTAGTTTATATTAAATTCCTCCATAAATATTTTTATAGCGCTTTACTTTTATTTATTTAATTACTTTCTTTTTTTTTCAGAAAAAGATCCTGATCATTATCTGCTTGATAGTGGCTCTCATCATTTTAATTATTATTTTATCAGTAGTGATACCCGGTTAGAAATAATAGTAATAATCTTCCATCGTTTTAATTACTCTCAACAGTGTTTTAACACAAATTATCGATATTATTAAACAAAAATGTTGCAAAAATATATTCTGGTAAATCTATTAAAGTTTTGCAATATACATCGTAGCACAGATGGATTATAATAATATGCTGCCACACCATAACATTTGTATTTAAAAACTAAATATTAACTAAATAGATGAATCGAAGGCCAAATTAATAATTGCTTAGGTTAAAAAAAATTATAATATATAAAACTTGCAGAAAAAGCTTAGGTAATATATCTCATAAGTATATCGTTCGAAATTATCCAAGTTATCTAAGCAATAAAAGTATAATACTAAAAGTTAAAAAATAATTAAATTAAAACAACACCGATGCGGGTCAGCTAGATGATTATTATTATTAAATGGTGGTTATTAGCTAATTAAAGTGTATTTGGAATTTTATGGTATATTAGTGCATTTTTGTCAAGTATGTTTTAGTTATGTTTGTTCTTGTTTGTAATATACATTGATGATACCATATTTTTTCAAAAACAACATAAATGTATATATTTGTAATTATTGTAAAATTATAATTACAATGTTTAATACTAGTAGTTACAAATAAACTTCAAAAAATCAGTAAATGCGAAAAGGATTAAAAAGCACTACAGAATCATATTTTGACAGCCAGTTACAGGTTTTCCAGAATTTTCCTTGCATATACAACAAATAGGAACGTGCTTTTATTAATTATTATTTTTAATTTTAGTATTTTTAGTACACCTACTTAATTTAAATAATTATGGTAGATTTTTTAATGTGATAAATAACGATTAAGTAAACGTACTGATTTTTTTTCTAGTGATAATTATCACGTTATTGGCATTAGTTTTATTCATTAAGAAAGATCTACCACTGTTTTTCTCTTATTGTTTTATAGTTTATGTTTTTTCCTCTTTTTTTTAATAATTTCCACAGCTTTGTATGAAATTATTTATTATCAACAATTAAATTATCTGTTTCTAATATTTTTTGTTTTATTTTATGTTGAAAAATAAAAATAATTTTTTTTATTTAAATTTTATTTTTCCTTATTTAAAAGTTTGTTTTTTTAATTTTATTTGTGTTTTGCTTTCCATTAAGTTTCAATTCCGAATTGATAACTAACTATACATAATAGAGTTATGACCAGGAAGAAATATATTTCATTTTGTTAAACCCAACCAAATAAATTTTTTGTTGTATTTCCCATCTACAGAAGAAAATCATGATCCTGATTTGTCTAACGGTATTGGGATTAATTGTCATCAGTAGCATCCTTGGGTATTTTGGAATCGGCGGTTAAAATGTAAGTATTTCATAAACATAAAGTTCATATTTAAGGAACTTAGTTTCATATGTAACACGTCAATTTTTTTATACTTTGCGAAAATAACAAATTTAAAGAGCAAATTTATAATTTTATTGAAATAACGTTTTAGTATCAATTTCTGAAATTAATATTAAAATAGATAACGATTTTTGTCAATTATTCTTTTAATATTTTTGTTACATTAACAACAAAACTAAAGAAAAAAATTGGTTTATAACTCACATTGCCAATAAGCTGATCTCTCTTTATAATAACTCAAAGCCAAGATTCATTTTAAGTTCGGATTTATGTCCTTAATGGTGGGTTAAATTATTGGCGAAAACATTTGAATGGTTTTCTAATCTTATTAGATATTTAGAAGTTCCCCATAATTGTATACCACATTCCCAGATTGACTTCAGTATGTTCTAGTAGATTCAAGTTTGTTTTTACTACAGGGGCAAGATATTTTCGCCAATACAAATTATTTTCCTGTACATCCAGTTGGAATCTTTTTATCCATATATACTTCCTTCAACTGAGACGACTGTCAAAATATTTTCCTAAGTACCTGACCATACCTGTCGATCAGTAGTGGAATGTTGTTGAGATTTATTGATGGAGTTACATTTATCCTCCAGCTACTCCTGAAGTAAGACTAGACGATAGTGTGATGACGATATCGAATCCGAAATAAAAAAAGAAAATTATACAACACTGTGTTAAGCTCCAAAATAATCTTGCATAGAAGGAAGTACAAAGAAAGGAACGATAAATGAATACTACAAAAATGGAAGAGAACATACTCTAGACTAAAACTCTAAACTCATCACCTACCTAGGAGAAAGAAAAATCACAGAAATTTGGAGAATGCTCAAGAACATGATATGACAACGAGTAAATGATATAGTTTCAGCAATAACAAGCCAAACATGGAATCAATATTTACAAAAAATGCTAATAGAAGACAGAAATATGACCGGAGTATCAGTACTATCCAACCAACCAATACTATCAACACGGTATATGGAAGAATACTTAAAAACAGAATTGAAGACGAGTACAGTAATGGTGGCAGAAGAATAAGTCGATTTTAGACCAGAGAGATGCTGAAGTAATAGGAGCAATAAAACCCATATACAAGGAATGTCAGAAATGCACGGTACTATTTTAAGGATGTATTCTTCAGCACAAAATAAACAAAAAAGTTTATATCAACATATGTCTCAAATTAATTTATTACCGAGATATTGAAAATGAAAAATTTTAATTTGTCAATGAAGCGGTCAGAGCAAATGTTCAAAATGGTTCTCGTTTTGTTGAATGCAATATTGAGTACGATGAATCCACGCTTCTCTGGCAAGTCTTATAGCATCAGGACGGCTATTGATAATTACTGCAGCTTCTACGATGCGATTGATGAGCTCTTCTTGGGTGCCGATAGACATAGAGGAAACCATAAATTTCATCCAGCCCCACACAAAATAATCTAACGGTGTTAGATCACGAGACCGTGGTGGCCATTTCACAGGTCCGTTTCGACCAATCCATCGGTCTGTTTAAATAATCAGTGGCAAGATGAGAAAAGTGAGAAGGGGCACCGTCATGTATAAACCACATTCCCTGCCTATCGGTAATCGGAATGTCTTCTAGGAGCTCATACAAGTTATTTTACAAAAATTCAAATATGATATTTCGGAAAGCTTAGATGGTAAAAAGAAACGGCCGATGAGATTGTCACCCAGAAGACCACACCAGACAATTAAAGAAAAAGTATGTTGGTAATGAGTATGGGTGTTTCGAAAAATAATAATCTTGTTTCTGGTAAACAAGATTCGTCAGTAACTAGGAGCTAACTTAGAAAGTGAGGGTTTCGTGTACATTCTCGAATTAACCACTGGCAGAAATTTCTGCGCTTCTTATAGTCTTCTGGTAATAAATCTTGCACATGTGTAACGTGATATAGCTACAACTGTTGCTCATACAATGTTCACCATACGCTTATACTCGAAACATCGAAACGACGTGACAATCTTCTGATGCTAGTACTAGGAGATAACTGAACAGCATCGAATATCAATTCTTCAACGTTAGCAGTTCGTCGAAACCTTTGTCGACCAGCGTTTATTCGTGTAGGTTTTAGCGTGCTAGTTCCCTAAGACGTCTTTCAATGGCTTCAAACGTTTCACGATTTGGTATCCTTCTAGTGGGAAATTTTTCATGGTACCTTCGAACAGCAGCTACTCCATTTTTATGCACCTCGCCATCAATTAACAACATCTCTGTTTGTTCTGCAAAAGTGAACTAACTTCTGGTGTCTCCCATAATAAATAATAAAAAAATAAATTCTTCGTACAGCACTAGAAAAACCACTACACCAACAGTGTTAAGCATTAATTAACACATTTAATAGTAGATATTTAATCATCTGTCAAGCAAAAAAAACAATATGCGATTGTTGTCCATGGCTACTTGATTAACGCAATACTTTCAGATATTTTACTTCAACTTTAAATATCGCGGTAATAAATTAATCTGGGACATATGTTTATTTGACCTTTTTTGTTTATTTTGTGCTGAAGAATACATCCCTAAAATAGTGCCGTGCAATTCTGAAACACCTTATAATAATGCAAAAGCACTAATAAAAATAATAATATAATACCTTAACAGCTGGGTTGTATGGCGCCAAAACTGTTTCAAATTTATTTAGAACGCGCATTACTAAGGTAAAAGAAAATGCAAAACCAGTGACATACCAATCGATAGTACATCAACACTCTACACTAGTCTACACCTTGGCATTTGCTGACAATCAAGTTGTGATTGCATAGGATAAGATCAGCAAATGAATGAAGAGTATGATAAATGGAACTTAGAAGTTATCTGACAAACAAAACACTGCAAATAACAGAAATAGATTGCAGAATTCAGCAGCTTATTAATCAGACCTGGGGGCAAAAATATCAAAGAAGGGAATACTTGATGAAGCGATAGCCGAAAGAAATTTCCAGGGTATGATAACATATTCATGTTAAACAGTATGCAGTAGGACAAACATATAGCAAACGAAAACAAGCGCAGAATATAGATGTCAATAATTAGAAGTATTCTTATTATTATTGTTGCTGCCGGGTTGAGGGGAGCGGCCCCTCTCGTTACCGCGACCTATAAAATCTATTGTAACTTTGGCCCTCCAAAAGTTTAGGGCAGATGTAGGTCTTTGATGAACCTTAGTATTGCCCCAAGGTCTTGTACCTTTATGTCGGTAGGTGTCAAGAGAGCTTTACCGAAAATGTCTTAGACGGCCTCTGGCGACGCAATTACACAGTATATGTTCAGTTGTTTCTGACTCGTCGTTGCAAAGTCGATAAGTGATCCTCAGCTTGTCCAATGTGAAAGAGGTGGTATTTTAGGCGCGCATGGCCGGTCAAGTAACCTGAGAGCGTCCTTAGATTCCCTTTGCTGAAGCATAAAACCTCTTTGGTTTTGTTTTTCGACGGAGTTAACATACTCTTCGCTTGCCTGTGCCCTGGAAGTTCCTTCCAGCGTAAGGCCACCTTTGAGGCCTCCCAACTGGTGATTATTTGTTTCATGTGTCTTTTTTGTAGTCCACAAACAGGTTTTGGTCCAAAGAAGAGCGTATTTGCTGCTTCTCTGGCCAGCTTGTCCGCCTTCTCATTGCCGTCAATGTTGCTGTCACCTGAAACCCACCATAAAGTACATCATTACCCCTAGCGAGATCTCTCAGGTTGCTGGTACACTTTCTGATCAGTGCGGAACCACCCGTGTAGGCCTGAATTGCTTTTAAGGAGGCCCAAGTATCTGTGAAAATGTTTATGGATGCACCTTTCTGTCCCTTTTGTGGGTTCAAAGCGGTGCAGAAGTTTATAGCAAGAACTTCTGCTTGAAAAATGGTTATGTCCGAGCTGAGTTGTCTTTTTAGTTGAGGCCCTCCCTTCGCCCAATCATCCCTGCTTCTAAATATGACCTTATACAGCTGGTTGAAATTGTATACTGTCGGTATAAGGTCCGTTTTAATTTCAATCAGGTGATTTAGACATGGGTCCTTGAGGACCTCGAGGTGTCCTCTGAGGTTGCCCTGCATGAACTTGAATGGAGAAACTGTTTTTAGTGGTAAGGCACTTGAAGCTGCCTCATTTTGTATACAGGGTAATTCAAATTCGACCCCCACCATTGGGATCTCAGAAACCATAAGAGATACAGAAATGGTTAAATGGGGGCAAAGTTACGTATCTTAGAGCTCATCATTTTTCAACTAAGTTTTTGACATTTTATCTCATGACATTTTTCATAAAAAGTTGCGTTAAGAATGTTTTTTCAGATTCACGAAAAAACGAAAAATAAAGAAGTTATAAGCAAAAAACGAAAAAGTAATTTTTTCTTTTTCGGCTATATTTTAAAAACTAAAACGGCTAGATCCAAAAACTTAGTTGAAAAATGATGAGTTCTAAGTTACGCAACTTTGCCCCCATTTATCTATTTCTGTATCTCTTATGGTTTCTGAGATCCCAGTGGTGGGGGTCGAATTTGAATTACCCTGCATATAAATGGAGCGGTGTGATACCGAGTAGGGCTTCCAAAGCAGCCGTCGGACAGGATTTCATTGCACTCGTCATGTTAAGACATGCTAACCGCTGGATTTGTGCCAGCTGTTGTTGTGATGTCTTACGTTTTGTTTTTGGCCACCAAACCAATGAGGCGTAGGCGACCATGGGTCTGATTATTGCTACGTAGGCCCAATGAGCCATTCGTGGTTTGAGACCCCAGTTCCTCCCTAGGAGCCTGCGGCAGATCTGGTTTGCCATGATGGCCTTTTTCCTCGCCTTATCTAAGTGTGAGTTCCAGTTTAGTTTACTGTCTAGTATTACCCCTAGGCATTTAACTTCTGTTTTGAGTTCGATTTTGTTGGGATTGATACTGAGCCCATTGCTTCTACACCAAGTACTGGTCAGTAGTAGGCTTTCTGCATTAGTTGAGTTATGATTCTATCATATTTACCTCGGATTGTACTTACCAGGTCATCAGCACACCCTTGAATCTTAAATTCGTTTTTAGTTAGGGTGTTCATCAAGTCATCAACTACCAGGCACCATAAGAGAGGTGATAGCACTCCCCCTTGGGGACATCCTTTTAGCGCCTTTATAGTCAGCGACTCGCCTCCCAGACTGGCTGTAATCTGCCGACTTTTCAACATGACCACTTGATTGTCGACCGATGTATATGTTTTACGTTTAGAGCCTTCTCTATGGATTCATGGGAGGTGTTATCAAATGCACCCTCTATATCTATGAAAGCACACAGGGCTATTTAGTTGGAATTGCCTCCTCTAAAGTTACTAGTCAAAACATGGAGAGCAGTTATTGTTGATTTTGCTTTCTGGTAAGCATGTTGGATAGGGTGGAGTGGAATAGTGACAAGCACTCCATTCCTAAGGTAATGATCGATTACCTTTTCCATCCCTTTGAGGAGAAATGAAGTTATTAGCCTATAATTTGTCTGTATGCCTTGGGGTCGGCGTTTGAACGCCTACCACCTTTAGGTATGAAGACCACCTTTACTTTCCTCCATAGAGTGGGTGTATAGCTAAAGCTGTAGCTAGCTATATATAGGGATCTTATACTATCCCAGTAATAATATTACTGGGAGAAGATCTTCCAAGCCTTTTTGCAGAAGAATAGGCAGAATTCCATCTCCTCCAGGCGATTTTAGGGACTTGAAATTACCTTACTCTGTTGAGTGTAAAAATGTTCCCAGCCATTAAAAATGTTGTCCATTACTTCAGGGTCGGCATCAGCGTGAGAGCAGACTTTTGAGGAAGGAAAGTGTGTACTCAGTAGAAGCTCCAACGATTCCTTAGCATCCTCAGTATATTTACCATCTTGTTTGCATAGGTGGCCTAGATCAGTGTTGTGATCTTTTGCCAAGATCTTATGCAGACGAGCAACTATAGGCGTATTGTCTATGCCTTCACAGCAGCTGCGCCAGGTTTTTCTTTTGGCTTTGCGGATAGCCAAGTTATATTCCGTTAGGACTTTCCTATAGAGGTCCCATGTTTGCTTCGAATTTGGAATTCCCGATTTTATTATACATATAGTCTTCTAACCATGACTCGCTGTTTTTCAAGGTCCTTATTCCACCAAGGCACATCGAATTGTGCTCTTTTGTGTTTTATTGGACAGCTTGATTCATATGCACTATGTATGAGATTGTTTAGTTGAAAAGAGGCTATTTCGAGATCCTCTTTGTTTTCAATATTTGTTTTGATTTGGTCGACCTCTTCGCTGAGGTGTCTACAAAAAGAGCACCAATCAGTGAGTGAGAGGATTCTGAATTCTGTTTGTTTTGTCATGTCAGCTACAATGACAAAGCGAATATGCTTGTGATCCGCTGAAGTGATTTCACGTGAAACATGCCAGTTTGCGAACTGAAACGAGACTTATATCTAGCTACCTCTTGTCGACTCTTGGTAACAAAAGTCGGTTCGTTACCTCTATTGAGGATATCTAAATTAGTACTTTGTAAGTATCGGTAAAGGTACTCACCCCTTTTGTTTGTATCTGAGCTGTTCCATGCGAGATGGTATGTGTTTGCATCGCAGCCCAGGAGGAGTTGTTTCCCCCTCTTATTGCAGTAGTCAATGAGGTCTTTCACCTCCTGTGATGGTGGATCGTCCGATTCACCGGGGAAGTACCGCTGACATTGCAACCAAGTCTCTAGAGATAAACTGGGTTAAAGTTAGGCAGTTTAGAGAGGATTTAGCGAGGATCGCTGCTCTCGCAGACACTCTCCTCTGTGATAAATTAACTTACCTGCTTTTCTTGATAGTCTTCTGACTATTGATCCATATGCATATGGCTCTTGGATCAGCGCAACATGTATGTTGGTGCTGTGGAAGCCCTTGACCAGCACTTCGGAGGTGCTTTTACAGTGCTGGGTGTTGGCCTGGATGAAGCCTACTCCCGCCATTATTGTTTGGCGGGTGCAATTTTGGGAGCGGCAGATTTGCCCTTACCCTTTTTTTCGGAACTTACCTTACCTGTACCCCTCTTGGGGTCCTTGGCGGTTCCGGAAGTTCCTGGTGTTGGTTCAGGTTCTACCTTTTGTGGCGTAGGCTTGTCGCTTTTTTGCCTCAGGGTGATTTGCCCGAACTTGTAGCTTTTTTAAGGCTCTCTACAGAGGGATGATCTACGGACAACGTAAGAAAGGCACTGCTGCCTTCAGTCGTCCTTTTGACCACCCTCCATTCGTTGGTGTTCAGGCCTTCGTTCAGACCTTTAACAGTTTTTAAAATTTCTCATCCGCACTGTAGGGGAAATAGCCGTTCATGATAGTCGCTCTGGGTAGCTCCTTTTCATCGATAGCCATTAGGGATGCCCCCTCCCATGGTTTAGGGTTGGTGGATAGTTGGGCGGATTAGTCCATCTAACGTTTGTTTCCTGGTGAAGGGCACAGTAATTGTCTTTATACCAAGCGCAAATGGTATCTAAACTATCTAGGGTCACCTGGATAGAAGTATAGTAATATACCTGTGAAGAGTGACCTATAAAGGGTAACATAGAAAGAAAACTATAAACCACAGAAATGGATTACTGGAGTAGAGCTACGGGTATCTAGACTGGCAAGGATTAGAATTGAAGACATAAGAGATGTAATGGAAATAAAACATTATAGACATTATAGATTACATACGAACTGCCCAACTTAGATGGCACGGACATGTACTGCACTGGACACTACAAGGCAGAAGAAGGAGAGGAAGACCATTGAGGAGTTGGAGAGAAACAGAAATAAGATCATAGATGTATCGAATTTCGTTCAAGCACTCAATCCATGTAACAATGGTGCCCAAATATTTAAATTTTTCCACTATTTTCAGTCTTCCCCCGTTTACTTGTTTAGATATTTTGGAAATTACTTTCTAACTAGAATACGATTATATCAGAACTAAATCTGGTTATTTATTATGTCTTTTGGCTTCATTATTAACAATTAATACTAAATACACTAGGGTCTCGATTTGCGTTCCGGTAAAGTGCGACGCAAATCGAAACAACGCAAATCGAATCACATTATTCCATAAGACACCATATAAATTTATTGGATTCGTTTCGGCGACGTCGTAATCACTGTGTGCAATGCGCACATACATGCAATTATTATACAAAATCATTGCTGGGATCAATGTTAGGTAGTATTTTAATAAACAATTCAATAATAAAAATATTTATAATGTGTTATGTACTATAAAAAACATTATGAATAGTAAAAAATAATACAAATATTGTAATAACAAAATAAACTTATAATTCCTAACAATAAAAATATGTAATAATATTTTTACGTTTTTAAAAAATCATCCAAAGTTTGCTGTCTAGAGGTACATCCATTATACGTGTAGTGTACAGGTCCTTGTAGCACTGAACATCTTTGGCGACAGCAGTTCAGCATTACAGTTCTGCTTCGATTTTCGTCCTTATCGTGGTTAATAAAAATCTCGACAGCTTTGTCGATTAATGAAAACGCTTCTGTTAATTTTTGATTTGTAATTTCTGTGTCTGAATGCTCAGTGGCCTCTTCAGTTGTAGCAGTAAAATTTTGTAGTAAGTCATCGCATGCAATTTCTTCTTCATCTTGATTTAAAATTATGTCTTCAATGTCGTTTACCTCCATCCCTTCAAAATGTATCTCTTCTGCGCATTGAAGCAAATCATTGACAATCCCTTCGAGGTCATCAGTGTCTGCTCCTTCGGCATCTTCAGTAAATTCTGGCCACAGTTTTCTCCAAACCCCTTTTAAACAACTTTGTTTGACTTCTATCCAAGATTCTCCAACATTTTCGACTGCTTTTAAAATATTAAACTGCTTCCATATTACTTTGATTGAGATTTCATCAATGAGATAGTGAAAAAGTTGTTTGAACGTCCTACGTAGATAATAAGCTTTAAAATTAGAAATGGCACCTTGATCCATGGGCTGTATAAGAGCCGTTGTGTTAGGCGGGAGAAAAATAAATTTTATGTTTTCGCAGATTTCGTCTAGATCAGGAGGATGGCTGGGAGCGTTGTCTAGTAGAATTAAAATTTTAAAATCAAGATTTTCTTTCAAGCAATAGTTTTTAAGTTCGGGCACAGCAATATCGCTTACCCACTCTCGGAACAGAGTTGCTGTCATCCATCCTTTTTTGTTCCATCTCCAATGAACTGGTAATGAATTTCTTTGATGATTCTTCATTGCCCTTGGATTTTGAGTAGTATTAATTAACAAAGGCTTGAGTCGGTGATCACCTGCTGCATTAGCCCCGAGAAGAAGAGTTAGTCGTTCTTTATTTGCCTTAAAGCCAGGTGCATGTTTTTCTTGTTGTGAAATGTAAGTTCTCTGTTCCAGTAGAGACCAGTTTCGTCTACGTTGAACACTTGTTTAGTAGAATACCCGCCTTGTGTAATAATGTTCTTGTGAACATTTTTAAAATCTTCGGCCGCTACTGCATCTCCACTGGACGCTTCTCCTTTCAATGCTACATTGTGCAGTTTAGCTCTTGATTTAAATTTTTGAAACCAACCTCGACTTGCGTGAAAAGTTTCGTCTTTATGAACATGTTAGGGTTTTGACTTTAATTCCTCAAATATGGATAAAGCTTTTTCTTGTATGTTGGTCCTACTTAGTGGTATTTTACGTTGATTTTGTTCCTCTATCCACGTAGAGAGGAGAGATTCCATTAACATAATTAAAGAACTTTTGCCTTTTACAATTTGTTGGACCATAAATGAGTTTGTATTTTTTGCAGCTTCTCTGATTTTTTCTGCGTCACGATTACATATGGATCTAATGGTAGGGACGGGTATATTAAGAATTCTTGCAATATCTACGGTTTTTCCCCCGGCATCAAACCGACGTAATATTTTTAATTTTTTACCTAGAGATATTGTACTTTTAGTTTTCTTTACGATTTTTCCACTCATTTTGATCTATAAATAAGAAATACGTACACGTGAAACATACTCTATATGAACGCAACATTACATAATTGTTCAATATAATTCTGACTCCAATAATCATCAATAATATATTATCTTACCTCAATGTGTCTTCGCAATTTGCTAACACCGCCGTTTCAAGAAAGACTACCGCTATCATGTATGAAAACGAATACGCACGACTCCACGCAGTGAATGCGAGTGAATTCCCGTTTTATTTCATCTGTAGCGACGCATATCGAATCATATCAACGCAAGTCTCAGACACAGTCCTACACTTAGTCACAAAAGTCTTCGTACAGGTGAAAAAGCAACAAAATAACCGATTATTTATAAATTTTGCTACATTTCGTTATCGAAATGTATAATATAAAACAGTTAATAACGTTTTATGGATAAAATAAAGAATATTCTATTTAAAAAAATAAATAAGTTAAAAAAATATCGTTTTTTGATGTCATGAAAATGTTCGTACACTGACAAGACTCTGATCTTAATTCATTATGATGATTTGCCGATTGTTAATTTTCGGTTCACCTCGTTTAACTTTGGTATATCGTAAACTTTGACTTGTTAAGACATGTTCAGTGCGACAATTGCATCACATTTACAACATCAATTTATAATGAGCGCCCATAGAAAAGAAACTAGCGAAGAATTAAGAAATTTAATTGTTAAATTCAAAAACGAAGGAAAATCGTTGAGCACAATCTCAAAACTTGTTAATAAACCACGATCTACACTGCAATATATCATAAAAAACTTCAAAACTAATAATAATGTGAGCAGTAAACCTCGGACAGGTCGCCCTTCGAAGTTAAACTCACGAGACAAACGAAATATTATTCGTGAAGTATTAAAAGAACCAACTTTGAGTGGTCCAATATTGGCGGCAGAGGTGTCGAAAGGAACAGGAAAGGATATCCATCCAGAATGTATTCGTCGGCTGTTACGGAAGTAAGGTTTTAATGGAAGACAAATGCGGAAAAAACCGTTTATCAATCCAATAAACCAGAAGAAACGCGTGGAATTTGTTCGAGAACATATTGACAAATTCTATGGAATTTTGGAACATCGTATTATTTAATGATGAATCTAAATTTAATATTTTTGGATCGGATGGACGGGGTAAAGTATGAAGAAAACCGATTACTGAGCAAACTCGAGCATCTCTTACGTACGGGTGGATCAATTATGGTTTGGGGATGCATGGCGGCGGCTGGGGTAGGGAATTTGGTTTTTATTGATGGAATTATGGACTGTGTTTATTATCTTAACATATTGAAGGAAAATTTGCGTGCCAGCGTTGATAAACTAAATCTAGGAAGGATATGGATATTTCAGCAGGATAATGATCCTAAATATTCAGCGAAGATAGTTAAGGAATGGCTGTTGTATAATGTTCCAAAGCAATTAAATTTCCCACCTCAGTCCCCTGACCTAAATCCCATAGAACATTTCTGGGACGAAATTGAAAGAAGAGTGAGAAAAAATAGGATAATGGGTAAAGCCTCCCTTAAAGAAGCGATTTTGAAAGAATGGGAGAATATTACGCCCGATGTTACTAGAAACTTAGTATCGTCGATGTAAAACCGTTTAAAAACTGTTAGAGCAGAAAGGTGGACCGACACGATACTAGTTATTTATTTAATAGGATTTTTTTTCAGTTATTTTGTTAATAATTCGTTGTACGAACAGTTTCGTGTGATCAGAAAAAGTAATTTATCTTTGTTATCTTTTTTAATTCTTACTAGAAGCATATATTTTAATTTTAAATCATTATTAATCATTGAAAATATGTAAAATGTTTCATAACAGTTATAAATAAATAATTATTTTGTTCATAAATACGAATTTCTAGCCTGTACGAAGACTTTCGTGACTAAGTGTATATCTATAATGAAACGCAAATCGAAACAACGCAAATTGGGTCGACGCAAATCGAGACCCTAGTGTATACCTATACCCTGTTTTTCCGTTAGAAGCCGCGGTTTCGTATGAAGAAAAAGTGGTTTTAAAGCGCGGCTTATAACGAAATGCGGCTTATAAAAGGTTGCGGCTTGTAGATATGTACAAAATGTACCTAAGTATTTATTAGAATTATATTTATATTATATTTATCCATTTAAAATGTTATTCATTTTAAAAATGTTTTTCTGATCGGTTTTCTTTGATGGCTAGAATTTAAATATCAAAATATAGCAAATAGTTGCAAAACATTTCAAAAATAGTACTTTTTTATTTTTAATAAAAGTTTATTTACGTAGATATCTAGGTAATTAAAAAAAACCAAATATATTTTAATGAAACAATATAATATATTCTACATTAAAACAAAAGATATATTCTATGAGAAATAAAACAAATTATGTACCTACTACTATGTGTAGGTAGATAACTATTCTATGAGATCATAAAATCCATGTCTTCTTCATGACCTGGTCCATCCGAATCGAAGCCTGACAAAAGGCAGTCATACAATAAATGATCGTCCTCGTGATTATTTTCGTTGCTTTCTTCCTGATTGTTTACTTCCACTTCATTTATAGGTTCATCTTCTTGTAGTTGCTCATTTGGAATTATTTCTTCATTGTAGAATTTTATTTTAGTCTTTCTAAATCCGTTTTTAATGACGTCCTCAGAAATATTTTGCCATGCTGTGTCAATCCAATTAACGATTTCTTCATAAGACACTCGCTTTATCGGTTTTCCTGTTTCTTTATAAGCATTATAAGAATTGATCATAAATTTCTCCTACAATTCTCTTAGTTTTGTTTTAAAAGATTAATTAACTGAAATATCCAACGGCTGTAACAGTTTCGTTAATCCTCCAGGTATAACTGCAGGTATTGTTTGATTTTTTTTTAATTTATTTTTTACAGCATCGGTGCGATGTTAAGGTGCGGAGTCCAATATTAATAGGCCATTATCCCTTTTAAAAAACGATCCAGGCCGTTTATTCCAAATTTCATTTAGCCATAGCCCCATTTCATTCGAAGACATCCATCCCTTTTCATTAGCCGAAATAATAAAACTTTTTGGAAAATTTCCTTTTGGACGTGTTTTTCTTTTAAATATTACATATGGTGGTAGTTTCTTGCCACTAGCAAGAACACTTAAAGCCACTGTGGAATTAGATTTTTCATGTCTAGTAGTTACAATTTTTATGTCATCACTGCCTTTCTTTGCAAAAGTAAATTTTGATGGTAAGTCAAAACTCACTGGTCTTCATCCATATTCCCAATGTTAAGTAAGTCCACGTTTGTTTTGTTTTCGGTTACGAAATGTTGAAATTGTATTAACTTTTCCTCCCAATTTGCAGGCAAATGTTGTCCCACCGATGTTGCAGCTCTTCTTACGAAATCATTTCTTTTCATGAAATTATATACCCATTTTGGAGATCCTTTAAATGTAATTTCTAACTCCTCGGCTACTAATTTTGCTTGTCGCAGAACATGTTTACCAGTAACTTGTATTCCACCCTTTCTTTTTTCAGTTATCCAATTTTTTAATTGAATTTGTGGCCAACGTGTTACTGCTCAACACATCTGAATGTGTGCGGCTTATAATCGAGAGCGGCTTGTACTTGTGTGCGGCTTAGTAGGTATAAAATGTAGAAAAAATGAAAAAGTATAACATTTAATAAGCCGCGGCTTATATTGAATGCGACTTCTAGCGGAAAAACAGGGTAATTCTCGAGTTGTTATCAAACTTACTAACAAAAATCAACAGTTTTGTTATTTTGGGGATTTTTATTTTCTAACTAGAATATGATTACATCTGAACTAGATCTGGTTATTTATTATGTGTTTTGAGTTTATTATAAACAATTTATATATAAAATTCTTTTCTCCATCATTATTAATTTCTGAGTAATAATTGATTTTGATAGCGAATGTCAACAACACTTTCTATCTACAACGTGATCTTGTATAAGCTTGATGTAATTTTAGATTACGTACGTATTTTTGGTTCATTATAAACAATTTTTATTAAAATTATTTAACTGTATCATTTTTAATTCGTGAGGTATGACCGACATTAAAATCGTCAATCTTTAATTTGTGTAATATAATTAATAAGTATTTATTTTTTTAGGGATATAGCAAAATCGCAAACTTATATAAAAACGATAACATCAGCGCTGTCTTCATCATAAAAGGAACAAAAATCGCAATACAACTCAAGGACATTCGTGCTTCGTTCGGAAGAGCATTGGTTAAAAAATATATATAATAATAAAAACGACATTATTCCCACCGCAAAAACAAATAGTTTTGAGAGAACAAATTGTAAGAACAGAACAAATTAAACTAAAACAACGTAGCTTTCTTAGGAGTATACTCTATTATAATACGATATTATGATGTAATTAATTGGAAAGAACGTTGTATATTTATTAAGGATGTATTCGGAATTTGCAGTAGCAATAATAATGTTAAAAGAAACATTAATGGAAACGTTACTTTTTCGAAAACGTGTGATATAATACAGTAAAAGAAGAAAAATTGCTTTGGTTGGTAGTCGAAATATATTTTTGTTGTTTTTATTGTTGCGTTTTAAAAAAAAAGTTAGTGGTTAATAAACGGTGTTAGAAAAAATTAATATTTGTGGATTTACGTTGAACATTTTTTAACTTAAAATAATGTAACAAAATGGAACAAGAAAAAAAGGGAAATTATAACTCCACGAATCAGTAGAAAAAAATTAGAAAGAATTAGATGAGAAAAGAATTTTAAAAAATTGTACAATCAGTAGTGTTTTTATTTAGTTATTTATTTGTCTTTGAAAAGGGCCTAATTTTTCACTATCAAAGGAAAAATTAATCATTGTTTTAAGTTTTACTTTGCTTCTGTTAAAATTTAAGCAAGGCAAAAATTAACTTATCAAATTGCGGACAATAATTTAAATTTAAAAAGAAACGAATTTTAACACCAATTTATAAAGAAAGAAAAATAATTAAAATTATCTCGTTGTTGTCCAGAGCTTAAAGAAATGTTCGTGTTGTGATAATTATAAAGAAAAAACATCACATATCGTATCATTTTTCTGACAATTAAAAAAAAATCTTGCTAAGATCAATTTCGGACGTTTTTATGTTAACATAAGCAAAGTAAAATTCTTTATTAAATTAATATGATATATAAAAACACCAAAGAACTCATTAACAACCCTAGGTCTTCCGCTAACTTTCAAACTTTCACCGTTTCACTCTGTTTTTCTTTAATTTTTTTTATATCATTGCGGCAATTTTTGAGTAAAACCAATGATATTGAATATTTATAAAGAGAACACACTGGCTTTCGAGGATCTCTTG